AATACGTTTCACTTTTTTGATCAAATTTTATGTTTTCTCTTTTACTTTTCCTCTTTTTTTTTTTATTGATACTTATTTTTGAAAATTGTCATTGTTGATAAAAGATTAAATAATGTTAAAGATGTATATATATATATGCGAGAGGGGAAAAAATATGTTTTTTTTTGTATGTTTTAAACTGGTTTTATCACTCAAATATATTTGTAAATTATTAGCGGCGTAAGATTGAGCTGTCCATTCTGCTGTATTCTTTGCTTATTTTTGATATCCAAAAGATCAGAATTGAAAGGAATGATGATTTTTGCCAATTTTGAAAAGCACAAAAATTATTAGTTGTAACAATTTTTGTTTATCAAGGTTGTTGGTTAGATAGGAATCAAGCTTGACAACTTTTTTTCTATGTTCAAAACTGCTTCTTCTTTTTTTGTTCAACAGAGTGATCTAGATATTTTCAACAGGTTTACATAATAGCTTTTGATATAAAAATGGTTTTTTTTTTCCAGTTTTAAAAGAAAAGGAAAATAGAGAATTTTAAGGAAAATTTATTACCTGACCACTTTTTTATGTCTCACTGATCGTTTTCTGCTATAAGCTATTTATAGTATGACAGGAAAATAGCTTTTTTTTTAAAAATTATTTCAGCAAACAAAAGCAATTGAAAGTGCTCAAATAGAGAGATACAGTAAAAAATGATTTTAAAATTGCAAAAACATAACAGATCTTGCAGAAAATTAATTAGCCAGGTAGTTGGTGAAGCAGTCATGAAAACTTCTTCCTTAATAGGCAAGATATTCTGTTCAGCTAAGTCATTAGATCACTGTTTTCTTCTTGTCATGTTCACATTACTTTCGTGGTTATCGTTGGCTTTCTTTCACAGTACTATAAATCAGACGAAGCTAAATAGGGAAAGAGCCAAAATGCAATTAATTAATTTTATAGCACGTTTGCTCGGCACAAATTTAATTTAGCTTCGTAATTTTTCAGGAAAATAGGAACGATTTGGAAAAAAAATTATCGTAAAAAAAAATTGAGTATTTTAATAAGTTTTTCCCCTTTTTTTCTTCTTCTTCTACACGTCTAAAAATCCTATAAACACTATGGACTCATCTCTTTTGGCTATATGTTACGAAGTGCGAATGAAATGTATATTAATACTGAAGCTGTAATTTTATTAGGTTTTTTCTTCGAAGTGTTGCCTGAAAATATTTACTGCACTTCAAATGATCAGCAGTAATCTTAGGTAATAATAAGAAATGAAATTAACTCGGGCAATTTTATAGGAAGCATTTATTGGTAATAATACTGATCAGACCGTCGTCAGAACGAACATTTATAGTTTCCGGCTGGCATAGACAGTGACTACTGAGATTAACAAATAAAAGCTCCAGTTTTTTTTCGCATTTTTTCAGCTGTCTGCTCATTCCTTTCAGGACTTCTATGGCCACAATCTTTAGTACTTGTAGAGCTTAAATAAACAAATTTGCCTAGTTCAGGAAGTAATTTGATCTCAGCTAAGCGTTTCACAACGATTCCTTTTGCTTTTTTCCCCAAATCTTTTTATTTTTTTATTGGAAAATTGAAAGTTAAGTAATAGTTGTGACTTGCTGAACATTTGTTGGGAATATTTTTTTTTCTGGTTCAGAGATTTAGAAGTTGCTTAAGAATACGGCTATTAGGAAAAAAATAGTTTACAAAAAGCCATTTTTTTTTTTTTTTTTGGTTTTTGTGATATCAAGACAAAAAAATATTTTTTAAAAGAAAAAACGTTTTTTCGACGAGCTAAGGTTTAAAATAAATGTTTTGATAGCATAGAGACACGTAATTAGAAAGGTTCAGAATTTGATCTTGATAACAGGATTTCTTCTGACTTGTCTGTCTTCTGTCTTACGTAGCTTTAGTCACGTTACATTTAAAACTTCCTCCTAACACCCATCGGATTGTTAGCTCAAGTTAATGTTCTGTATAACTCTAGGTGGGCCTCAACTTAATCAAATCATCTGTTTTAATAACAACTAAACAACAGCATGACTTTTTTCTAGGACTGGCGAATCTACTCTAGTAGAATCCAACGACTCTTGTTACTCGAGCTGCTCTGAAGAATCGCACAGCTCGCTGTCTCGTGAACCGTCAGATGCGCTCACAAATGACTGTTGTTATCAGTCGTCGCCGTCTTCATCGTCACCATCTGCTCTTTCAAATGAGAGGCTTGTCGAATTTGCGACCAAACTAGGTTATACCGAAGCACAGCTGTTTAAAGTGTTAGATAAACTTGGCGAAAAGGCGGGGCAGGTAATATAAGAACTCTTCATTTTTTATAAAAACATTTTTTAGTTTCTATAATATAAATATCGTTTTCCAAACGGTAATAAATAGGATGTAGCTATGCGAGGAGGTTGTTGTAATAGTGCACATTGAATTCATTGCTTTCCAGGACCAAGTGCTGAGCGAGTTGATTAAATTAGGTCGAACTTTCTCGGAGACTTTATCGCAGTCATCTACAGAAAATAAAAATATCCAGTCTTCACTAGTACTTAGAAGTATTGTGATTGACGGATCAAATATTGCTATGACGTGAGCAGATCTATCACTGTTATCCGTTCTCGTCTTTGCCCGTCTTATTTCGTATAATCAAACCTTGTGCGTTTTCTATGTAGGGGGTAATTTTTCCAGTACTGAAATGGTTTTAGACATGGTCGCAAAGAAGTTTTTTCTTGTGCTGGGATCAAGGAATGTGTACAGTTCTTTAAGAAACGTGGGCACACTGATATTTTGGTGTTCGTACCTCAGTTTAGAAGAGAAACTGCCCGGTCAGATTGCCCGATTACCGATCAACACCTTTTAAATGAACTGGACAAAGAAAAAGTTTTAGTTAGTTTTTGAGAATGTTATTTGCTTCAGTCTGTGCTATGCAGTTTTTATTATACAGTGCTTTGTGTAGGTATGGACACCTTCTCGGCATATAGGCGGTAGGCGTATCGTATGCCACGATGACCGATATATTTTGAAAACTGCTGAAGAAAAAGATGCCGTAATTGTTAGTAACGATGAATACAGAGATTTGATAAAGGAAAATCCACAATACCGAAAACTGGTGGAACAAAGATTGTTGATGTATTCGTTTGTTGATGGAAAGTAAGTTCACCTAATGCACGTACAGCTTTTGCTTCCGCTGCTGGTTCAGTTACTTTATGTGTTTCAGAGTGACCTGATAAAGTAAATTTTAAATTCGACATTTATCAATACATTTAACTAAGCATTAAGTTATCGAGAGAAATGAAGCCAAAAATCAACTAAATGGGGTGTTAATACTTACTTGTAAGGTAAGACAACGCGCAATTGACTAGTTTAGGTTTATGCCACCAGACGATCCACTGGGTCGTAGGGGTCCGAAATTGACTCAATTTTTATCGAAAACTCCTCAAACACCCTCGTCGCAACTGTGCCCTTATGCCCGAAAATGTACATACGGAAATAAATGCAAGTTGGTACTACAGCCAGACTTTTTTAATTTCTCAAGCCATATCCTCATTATGAGAAAATTACGCCGCACAAAACTCCCACACAGAAACCAAGAAGAGGATTACTCATCTTTTTGACGTTTAGATATTTTCATCCAGAAAGACCAAACGGTGTTCATATTAGCGTTACAGAAAGGCTACTGAAAGGTAAACAGGGGAAACAAGTTATCAAGCAGTCTGTTTCAGCAAGTAAGGCGCACTTACAAAATTGGTTTGTCTGGTTCAGTAACCGTTTTTTTTCTTTTTTTTGGACATATTTTTAGAGCCGTCTATGGCAGCAGAAAACGGTTACCAACGAAAAAATCCTCACGAATCTGTTTGCCGGACTAGAAGTCTTAACGTTCTCGTTTCTGAAGGGTTGCCGCAAAGTTTCATGCAGAACTGTCAGGTAAAATGTTACCGTTTGTTTGTGTTATTCTAGAAAAACACTAGCTGGTGTGGAATTTTGTTTTTAGATCAGTAATACAGGGAAAACGTGCGTGCCAAATGAACAACTACAGTTGAAGGAAGTTCCGCACATTATGCAAAGTGGATTACCATATCTGATTCCTCAGCGGGAGTGGAAACATGCTACTCTAAACAGAAATTTATCGGCCCCGGTCCATCGATCACCACCACCTGTTCGGGTGCCATTTATGCGTGAAAAAAGTAGTGATTATGCTGGACAACAATGCAGCTCGTCAACTGATTTCCATCAGTTGGCATTTCCGGTCACACAGCAAATGATTTCTCCTTCCTTTGAGTCGACAAATGATGCATTTTTACCAGGTAACACAACTGTGTGCATTGAAACCGACAGCACATTTAAATGTAATGCTTTAGAAGAAATTACTTTTTGTATTTAGGATATTTGCATCCAGTTTCATGCCATCGTATGTCACATCTTTTTGCTCCTTCGACAGCGGTTTGGGGAGATCCTGAATATGGTGTTGGGCCGCTGACCAGGTGGAATGATAGATATTTTATTTTTATACGTTAATATATCAACTTTAAGTTACTGTTTAATACATCGTTATCCTCGAAGAAAAAATCAATTCTACTTATTTACAGACCAAACTTTGGGACAACCATTAATGCAGCAGAAAACGAACAACGTACTCGTATCCAGAACATACTGAAACAGCTGTTCTCTGGGGATACTGTTTCAGCAGTTATGAAAGCGCATCCGGAAGAAACTGACCCACAAAAATTATGTGCTTTGATACTGGACTATCAGAAGTGTTTTAAACAATAAACTAGTTGTTGTTCAGAAGAAGACAATAATCGTACTTTTCCATCCGAGATTATTCAAGGCTAAAACTTGGTGAGTAGCCGAGAGAAGTTTTTTTAAGTTTCAGAGGTAAGTTTGAGACGGAAAAGAAACGCAGAAAAAAAAGTGTATCCTTTTCTTAACATAATACGAGTATCAATCAAAGTTCTGAACATCAGATTTCAAACATTGAATTTTGAAATGATCATTAGTAGTACTTTGGAATACATGAAGCTTTTTGCTTTCTGTTCCGTTCTGTTCCGTTTATTCAAATTTTATGTTTATTCTGTTGATTAATGTTGTTCTGACGACAATGAACAATTGAACTGTAAACCACAAATTTGTGTGTGTGCATTTTAGTGCTATTAGTTTGTTAGAAAAAAGATTGACTAAAACTGTTGCGACGGTTAAACTTTGTAATCTATTTTCCGTAGTTTTGCCTGTGTAATTAGCCATTTAATTTAATTCGCCTTCTTCTTCTGTGTGTGGCGTTATGAAGTTTGCAATATTTGCACTAAGTTGTATGAAAAATAATTAATGAATCATGGGGAAAAATGAAACAAAAAAATATTGCTATTTATGGTGCACAAATGTTACTGTAATTGCTCCGCTGATTCTTTTCCTTCAACATTTTTCAAACGTTTTTCTTGAAAATAAAGATTTGTCCTTTAAACAGGTCCATCTGAAGCTTACTGTAACCTGCTTATTTTCTTATCACTATTGTCACTGTTGTTGTTACTGCTTTTTTTCTATGTGGACAACCCTTGTGAACTGTAAGTGGCGATGACGGTAACGACACTGATAATGGAAATATTTGTTTCTTTTTCTATCCTTTCTTACTAAAGCAGTCGCAAGTTTTTGAAGAGTTCAACAAAAAACAGGAAGCAAAGAAACTTGTTTTCAACCAAAAGGGAAAACAGATAAGTCGTTGGCAGTCATTCCATTGTTATCAAAGGAGGAAAGATATATTATAAGACCCACCGTACTTCTGC